AGTATCAGAAGGAGTTTTGTGGATATTATAGTAATTTTAATAGTTAAGATCATGAGTCAATTGAAGCTAGACTACCATGGAAAACCTGAAAGCACTGAATGGCCGTTTCTTCCTATTGTGAGACGACTCCTCAGTAGTACGCATCCACGATCCCGCTTCGGTGCAGGATTATTTTGTCACTAACTTATAGATTGTATCGGCTGGTGGTTTTTAATTTTTTTCGTATGTATGCATAAATATAATTTTACATCAGAAGAAAGCGTAAATAGAATTCAATTAAAAAGAGTAGTTTTACTTGTATGTATGTTCGAAGTCACACAAATGGAATTTCCATTATACTCGCATTGTAAACTTTTAACAAACACTATCTACTGAGCGTTTTGCCTAAAGACATAATCCTCAAAACTGTAAGGGAGCATCCTGTTTGGGATGCTAGAAATCGCTTGGTTAACTTCTTGTTTTTGTAATTTTATTTTGAAAATGTGAATTTCTCATTTTCGTGCGGAAAGTGCCCACTTTTACCTTCAGTTTGTATTTCCCACTTGCAAAGACCTTAAATTTCATTAGTTTGCTTCCTCTTTTAGCACGCTATTTTATAACGTTTTCTCAAGGACATTTTTGTACCATGTTGTGTGCTTATGGAATGTACATTCCCCCCCGGCTGAGTCCGGTCTTCTCACTCTAGTTAGCAGTGGAATAGCTTAGTCTATCATGTTGTTCTGTTACTGACCTTTGTTCCCTTTGCCAGTTTAGGTAATATTTTTGATTGAGATCATGAATCAATCGGTGTTAGAGCACCGTTGGGAACCTGGAAGCACTGGACGGCCGTTTCATCCTAGTATGGGACTCTTCAACAGTGCGCATCCATGATCCCGCTCCCTGCGAGATTCGAACCCAGGACCTACCGGTCTCGCGCCAGGCGCTTAACCAACTAGACCACTGAGCCGGCATACAATGGTGTTAGTGTCTAACATCAACCAATCCACGAAATTGCGCGACCAACTTCCATTGTACTGAGGTAGATACCTGTCTCTACCCGGCACGGATTAGCTCCACTGGTCACGGCTTCTCACTAAAACTCCGAGAATTCCCTCATCTATCTGAACGTAGCAGATCCACAGATGTATTCCATGATATTTACCAACTAAATAAGCTTTTTTATAGCGTTTTATCCTTCCAGGATTCTGGATACCTTATGAATAATTTATTTTAGAGCCGAGGTATTCCAACTCGGTATTCATCAATCCGGTTTAAGCCCTGAATATTCAATTTAGACGTTACATTTTTGAGTAAATTACTTGATCCTGTGATAAATCTCTGTTCAGTACTGACTATATACTAGAACATCTGAAAATCTTGTAGGTTAAAACGTTTCTACAAAATCATTATCAATATTCTTCTGTCCACTGTATACTCTGAGCTATTTTAATAAAATCTGTATACATTTTCTCTAAATAAATCTTTTACATCTGGTAGTTAGGCGAATAACAATAACAACTTTCTATACTGATTAATTATCAGACTCTTAAAAGTGACTAACTTTGAGAGGTAATTCCCTGAGTTCTGGCAAGAAATCTTGACCAGTGGAGTATTAGATAAGACAAATATCATCGGTGATAACAGATAATGGTCACTCAATATTACGAGTTGACTAAAGTTAGAAATATAAACTATTGGATCTCGTCTAGACGATCTGAAGGTTAAACTCACATTTTGAGACCGGCAGGGCCCTAGGATCTATCCCTTACAGTGTCGTGAATGTATATTTTTGTGAAATCTCATACTACAATGAAATACGTAACAAGCACTGTTTGATTTTCACTAGTTTCCTAAATATAGTATCAATCTGTGATATAAAATCACCAAATAAACGTCAACATAATTGGTCATATCGGCGAGACTATAATTTATGGACAAACCAATCACGTATAAGATAACATGTCTCGAAATTTGGCGCGAAATTCACTGATCTATTTGTCTAACTAGAGTTTTGGCATTATAGCTAATGTCAGTTTATGATGAAAACCCTAAATCTTATTTCTAACCTTAATTATCAACTGTAAATCATAATTGTCGGGTGAAGATAGGTATCTACCTCAGTACAATGGAAGATCGTCGCTCAATTTCGTGGATTGCTTGAGATTAGACATTAACACCATTTAATGCCGACTCAATTGTTTAGAGGTTAAGTGTTCACGCGCCAGATTGAAGGCCCTGGGTCGGAATCCCGCGAGCGGGGTCGTGGATGCACACTGCTGAAGAGTTCCACAATAAGACAAAATGGCCGTCTAGTGCTTCTAGGTTTTCAATGATGGTCTAACATCAATCTGTTGATGATCTCAACCCTATACTGATAATTCTAATTCCTTACATAGGTTTATAACCCTCATTTGGTATTGGTTATTAGGTGAACACACTGTCAAGGTTAGTCTAGCATCACTTAAAGATCATCCATATATTATAGTCTCATCGCTTTATCCAATATTTACATTTATCCTACTACTTAAAATGAATCTTTAGTAAAGCGACCAACATTCAAAGATAAAGATCATCATACATTAGTTTTGATTGTTATTTTTGTCATTAAAAAAATCCAATTTATTTCATTTTTTATAAGTTAGTTTTACTTGCATGGTTAATTTGAATGTCAAGGTTACACATGGCTTTTCTCTCACCCCCCTCTCTCTCTTTGTGTGTGTGTGTGCGCGCACGTCTACATGTAGATATTTGTATCTCCAGAAATATTTAGTTAACTCTTAATATCGATCAATAAATGGTGCGATAGTAACAGCAGAAAGTTACACAGAATGACACCACCAACAACAACAAAAAACAATAATCGTAGTCATAATAGTGAAAATATTCAAATGGACATACATTGAAAGTGAGAAAAAAATGTGAATATTTTGAAGAAAACATTATTTACTTTTTTTTTCTATTCTCTTAGTAACTATCTCTTTGAAATTGTCGTCTTCTGCTTTCATATACAATATGAATTTTTTTTTTTAAATATTTTTATTTGCATTTTCTCGTTTACATCATAAAGTATGGACTATAGTTGTTATTATTATTATTATTATAGATTAGAAATTAAAGGATGTATTAAACAACTGTTTTCATTCTCTATATAGCTCTTGATACTGCCTCTTTTAAGAATTAGTAAAAGGAGAAGAAAGAAGAGAATATTGTTAATCAGTTGTTTTAAATAACATTCCAATTGTGATACACTTCATTATTTGTCAAATGATTAATTGTTTTATATACTTTTACATTTATGATCTTTACTATAGTTGTTAAATAAACATTCTTGTGGTGTGTTTGTGTGTGTGTGTGTGGTTGTGTTAGATATAATTTCTAAAAATGTTTTACAGTTTATCTTCAGTATTAGTACTATTTTAAAATGGTTAGATTGTATTTGGTACTAGGTTGTTATTTATATAAACATTTGTACGAGGAAGGGGGAGTCACTCCCCCAACCTTTCACCTAAATATCTGATCCACAAGGTAGTGGAGCAACGTCATGAGATGCAGTCACATGGTAACCGCTGACGAACAATTGGTTGTACACCATTTGTTTCTTCAGGATACTGGAGACCATATGCACCATTGGTTTTGAATAAGAGTATTCCAAATCCTGTAGGTGGACCCTCCGTGTCCACCAATCCGGTGAAAGCTCCTAACGGATATTCACTTTTTGTGCTCTCAATTTCGTAAACAACAGTAATGTTACGAGAATGCAGTGAAGTAGAATTTCCCTAGTAGTGTCTGTATACGCGTGGCCATATGGGAAAGTTTCGAGAAGGAGAGCTGACTCTCCCCACTCTCGACTGTACCAGGGCATTTGGGGGCACTAAAATTCGAAGTGACTGTTTAAGTGTATTTTGTGATCGTCGGTTGGATGGATCGAGCTTCCAGTATTGAGATTCAAATATTGTATCACTACCAATATATTATCCGCTAAACTTGTTCAACACGTGTGAAGTTATGTACATGTAAAAGCGTTTAAGTTTTACCGTTGTGTTAATATTAATGTGACAGCATTTTGATCAGTCTGAGCCATGTTGGGAGATGCAGTCCACTTGGTTGGGGTCCGCGTGACTATCGTAACCGATGGTTGAAGACTGTGCGTGACATGGTTGAGAATCGATCAGAATGGTGTAGGTGTATACACTTTCTGTCTTCCATTAAACTAAGAGATTAAAATCGCTTCTTTCTTCCTATACTATATCCTTATATGCAATCTTTCTTTTATATATTACCACCTCTGAATTAACTACTTTTATGAGTCGGGTGTCCATCTTGTTGTGTTAATGAGGTGTGGCAAGTAAGACCGATTCATATATTTGCCTGGTCCTACGTTGTAGCTAACTGACTGACTATGAAGATTTATGTATCCTAACCGGATTGTTTCGATAATGTTTTTAGTTAGTTACAGGTTTTCATTGTGAATATCAATATTAGGATGTTGGTACTTCTAGTTGGAACCAATGATTGGAGACTCCGGGTGACATGGCTCAGAATCGATCACAATAGCGTAGGTATATACATTCTCTGTCTTCCTTTAAACTATGAGATTAAAATCGCTTTATATCTTTCTTTCTACGAACCAATTCTTTCTTCCTGTACTATATCCTTATACACAATATTTCATTATTACTTCTATGAATTTGTAGTTCATCTTGTTGTGCTAATGAGATATAGTAACTTGGACCGATGCATATATGTGCCTGGTCCTACATTATAGCTGATTGACTCTAGCTGGAACAAAATGCATGTCCTAAATTCAATTGCTAACCTCAATACAATTTCACTAAAACTTATGCTTAAAGACAACGCCAGGATAATTCGGTCACGATGCTTCTTATACCGATAGAAGCTCATCAAAATACAATGATAATCATAATAATGAATGCCCATTTCATGTGTTGTATTTAACTTCATCCTTTTGATAGTCTTATTGAAAGAAATCTGTTTTTTTTTCTTGTTTTTGTTGTTGACAGGATAAAGACAATGTTTACTTATGTATGGAATATATGCCTGGTGGAGATTTATATTATTGGTTAGAGAAATATGATACATTTGACGAAACTATTGCACGATTTTATCTTGCAGAAACTGTACTTGCTCTTGAAGCATTACATGAATTAGGTTTTATTCATCGTGATTTAAAACCAGATAATATGTTATTAGATGCTGGTGGACATTTAAAATTAGCCGATTTTGGTTCTTGTGTACGTGTTGGTGAAGATGGTTATTATTATTGTACATCACCTATTGGTACACCAGATTATATTAGTCCGGAAATGTTAAGTTGTCAAGCAAAAGCTGGTAAAATTGGACCTGCTTGTGATTGGTGGGCTTTAGGTGTTATTGCATATGAAATGTTTTTTGGTGAACCAGCATTTTATGGACAATCATTAGTTGAAACATATAGTCGTATATTAGGTCATGAAAAATCATTACGTATACCAACTGATGCTGATCCAATTTCATCAGATACTGAATTATTTATTAAAGATTTATTAAAATCATCTACAACTCGTTTAGGTTCATTTGATTTATTAACAGATATTGAAATTAAATTAGCAAAAAATAATCGTGCTGTTGCTGCTGCTCAACAAGTTAAATCACATGCTTTCTTTAAATCAATACATTGGGAACAATTAAGATCAGAGAATGCACCAATTCAACCAGTTGTTAATTCAGAAACAGATACATCAAATATTAATTTGATGAAAGAGATTTAAGTTCAGATAGTAGTAGCGGTGGTGGTATGAAATTACCTCATAGTGGTGGAGCATTTGCACCAGCACGTCCACAACCTCCAGCTTATTTTACTGGTAGTAATTTATCATTTGCTGGTTTTACATTTAATCGTTATCATCGTTATTTAGAAATGTTCTCACGTAATTTAAACAATCATAATACAACAGATTTAAAAACTAATAATCATCAACAAACTTTATTAAATGAAACATTAGAATGTCAAAAATTCACTGAACAAACATTAAATGAATTAAAACAATCTTATCAACATTTAGAATGTCAATCTATTAAAGATCAAATTACTTTAAAAGATCTAAATCGACGTTATATTGAATCACAAAATGAAATAGAACAATTAAAGAATATTAAAGTTGATTTAGATCATCAATTAAATGATGTTTATACACAATTAAGTAATATACAATATGAACGTGAATCTATACAAAATGAATTAAAAGAATTAGATCAACGTTATCAATCTATTAACTTGAATTTGGATAATGAACGTCGTGATAATTCTTTATTAAAAACTGAAAAAGAACAATTAGAATATCGTATTCATCAATTAGAACGTGAATTAAAACAAAAATCTATTGAATTAGATCAAATTAAATCAAAATTATTCATCACATCTCAATCGATCAATGATCCATCTACTACTACTACTACTACTCCCACTACTACTTCTAGTAGTATACACCAAGACAAGCATGATCAAGATGGTATTATTACACAACAGAATGAAATGATTTATAATTTAAAAAATCAAAATATTAATTTACTTAAAGAGAATGAAGAAGTTCAAGAGAAATGTACAACATTAATGAATCTTGTTACAGAATTACGTTATAATTTAGAAGGACAAATTAAAGAATTAACTGAACAATTACATAATATACAAGAATTAAATAATAATCATTTAAATAAATATAAAGAAACTTATGAATTATTAGAACAATCTAAATTATCTGAAGAGAATATACGTCGTGATTTAATAGTAACTAAAGAAAATCTTGAAATAACCATGACAACAAAACGTTCTATGGAAGAACAATTAATACAAAAAGAAGTAGAATTATCTATGACACGAATACGTTTACGTAATTTAGATACAAATCTAAATACATTACGTAATAGTTCAAATACTGAAATTTTACGATTAAAAAATTTATTAGATCGTAATATGAATGAAATAGATAATTTATCAAAACAATTAGATGAAATGCGTAATCATTGTAGTACTATAGAAACAACAAATAATACACTTACTGAACGTATACAACAATTACAAAAAGATAAAGATATACAACAACGTAATTTAGATACATTAGTTGAAAAATTTTATAGTGAAATGAAATCTCGTACATTACAACCATCGGCAAAATCTAAACTTAATAATCCTCATCATCATAATGATGATGAATATAAACAATTAGAAAAAAAATATAAAAATTTACAATCAACAAGTCATAAAGATATACATAATTTACATAATACAATAGATCAATATAAAAAAGATTTAGCTGAACGTAATCAACATATAACACAATTAACTGAACAATATCAATTAATTTATAAAGAATTAATACAACAAAAACAATTAGAAAGAAATTTACGTACACGTTTAAATTATTATGTACAAATACAATCAATACCATCAATGATGAAACAATCTATGGATGATGATAATGATCATGATCTGGATCATCATGATGATGATCCTAATACTCCTACTACAATAGATCAATCAATACAATCTCAGAATCCAACATTGATATTACCTAATAATAATATGACAATGGATCCAATGTGTGGAATGAATACAAATATATTAAGTATAGTATTAGAAGATATAGTTGATATTGATAGTAAAGGTCGAGGTAAAAATAAATTAATATGGTTACCGAAATATGTTGTATTAAAACGTTTCTCATTATTATTTTATACATCAAAATGTGAATATGAATCAAATCCTTCATTAGCTGAAGAAATTCCATTATATAGGGTAAGTGTGTGTGTTGTTTTTTGTTTTATACAGTTTGTTTTATTTATGATTAGTAGTTTGCACGGTGACTAAATGCTTTGCTACAGCTGAGAGTGGGGAGAATCTGTTCTTATATGGCATGTGTATACAACCACTACACGGGGAAATTCTACTCAATACGTCTTCTTATGGCGGAAGTGTTGTTTACGACATGGACAGGATGAAAAGCGAATGTCTGCAGATTTAACCGAGTTAATGGATATAGAGGATCCATGTAGGAGAGTTGAAAAACCCTGATTCCTCAAAAAGTCACTAACTTCTAGTCTGAGTCATGTTAGTAGATGCAAACTAATTGGTTGGAATCTGTGTGACTATCGTAGCCAATGGCTGGAGAATCGATCAGAATGACGTAGGTGTATACAATATTTATCTTCCCTTAAACTATGGGATTAAAATCACTAGATTTCTTTCTTTCTACGAACTAATTCTTTCTTCCTGTACTATATCCTTATTCCAATATTTCTTTTATATATTACCACCCCTGAATAACTACTTTTATGAATCCGGTGTCCACCTTGTTGTGTTAATGAGGTATGGCAACTTGGACCGATGCATATATGTGCCTGGTCCTACGTTGTAGCTGACTGAATGACTGACTATATCACAAATTATGTAACTCAAATATTATTATGAACTATATATAGGGTAAAGAATTTCAGATACTATGATTAGTATTAAGTTGTATATTTCAATATAACCAATTAGCATAAGCATGCGAAATATATTTATATGTAATTACTACAATGACATTTAATGATAATCTATTTTTACTAACTGTTTATTAGTTTTCTTCGTATTATTACTACTATTTTCCATTATGAGACGATGAAGAATGGTAAGCACGCTTAGTCGAATGAATATTTAGTTATATGAAAGTCAATACAAAAAACAAAAAAATTAGGCAATAAACAGATGTATTGTGAAGTTAATAACTCAACTGAATCCGGACAGATAGTATCTTGTCTCAATTCTAAATTGAAATCAGAAATCCAAGTCAGTCAGTCATCAGCCAGTCAGTTACAACGTAGTACCAGGCACATACATGCATAGGTCTAAGTTGCCATACCATATTAACACAGCAGGACGAACACCGGATTCATAGAAGCAGTTAATTCAGTGGTGGTAATATATAAACGAAAGATTGCATATAGGGATATAGTACAGGAAGAAAGAATTAGTTCAAGCGATTTTAATCTCATTGTTTAAGGGAAGACAGAGAGTGTACACAATACATCATTCTGATCGATTCTCAACCATATCACACACAGTCTCCAACCATTCGTTACCTGCTTCGGTTTGGGCACCCGGGCAGTATCACAGCCCTCACACATATCGAATGAGATTTGTGTGGCGCATATGTATTTGGTGCCTCCTTGTACCAATATCTATGTGTTAAAATAAATAAAAATAAATAACCATTCGTTACGATAGTCACGCGGACCCCAACCAAGTAGTCTGCATCTACCATAACATATGGTTTACAATATTTATTTATTTAAACATATAAATATATTGGTACAAAGAGGCACTGAATACATATGCGCCACACAAGTCACTTGGTTTGTGTGTGTCGGCTGTGATACTGTCCGGGTGCCCAAACCGAAGCAGGTGATTTTCTTATGGGGTCACATCGGGAGTCATCGACCTAAACGTCTGAACCACAAAACAGTGGAGCAACGTCAGTCAGTAACAATGAAGAACTTGATATGTACGTACATCAGTTCAAGTTGCCATACTACATAAACATAAAGATACAATTGTCAATCAAAATCCCACAGTCGTAGAAATAGTAAAAGTATAAGTAGTAATCGGAAACATTAGGGTTTGAAGATGTTATCCAAGGAGTATAACCCAGTGAAATAAATATGGAAAGAGGAAAAACCGGACGTGAATAATTCAGAAGATTAGAATTTGGGAGAATACAAAGAGTAGATGTACCTGTGCCATTGCAAACGATTTTGAGACATGTCATTCAAGGTCTCTATCTATCGGTCGCTATCGTCTTAGGGATTACAAACAGGTAGTCTACACCACCAACATGGCTCAGACCACTTGTCAATGACGCTATGGATTTGTGCCATGTTTTGGTCTGGCCGTCCCTACCTCTCTTCTAACCTACTCCTACACTATAAAACATCGCTCGTCGAGGCAGTCGGTGGTTGGGAATACGTAACACGTGTCCCAGCCATCTCATCTGATGAAGTTTCACTACTTCATCAATTGACTTGCCATTGTTACCTAGTGCCCGTTTCTAACAACTGCATTACTTACTCGGTGGTCTCAGGATATATGAGCAATGCTTCGAAGACACCTATGATCGAACACTAGTAACCTACGCAAATCCTCTACTCTTACAGGCCATGTTTCACAGCTATAAAGTAGGACGGAACGAACTGCTGCACAGTAAACTCGTCCTTTGTTTGGTAGACGAGTATTGTAGTGTCAGTCATTATTTTAAACCCATATACCTTATTCTAGTTTTTGGACAAACCAATCTATTCATTCTACTTGAGTCATATGTTGACCTTGTTATTTATTCGCTTATCAATCTTGACTGTTTTTATATGAGCGTATATGTGTGTGCCCTTCTTATCCCATTAATCACATGTCTGTAGCTTTATTTTGTCTGACTATAAATATTAAGTAACGCTTGACTAAAATGGAGTTGGCTTCCCAGCCATCTTGTCTGCGTGTCATTTTGCTTTGCTATGTTTCATTCGCTTCATATTCAAAAATATATGTATTCACAAATCAATTCTCGTTATTCGACTTATTTAATTCCGTTATTGAATAACGTGATTTAAGTCGACGATTATATACGAGAATAGGCGATGACAAACATTTATACGATCTAAATAGGAGTCAGATCCACGGGTCACTAAAGTATCTCGCACACGCCATAAATAACGCAAGTTGGTAAAAGCTAGTCGAGCCTTCTGTATCCGTGCTGAGATTTCGTCACACATCAGACCACAAGAGCTGATGAGGCTCCCAAGATAAGTGATGCGGTCGACACGCTCAACTACTTCACTTCTCTTAATAGTTTAGGGGTCGATGCAACCCAATCCTTAAGCAAAATTTTGCATTTCGAGTGGGAAAATCGCATGCCGGACATGCTTGCATTGTCAGCGTCTTCACCAAATAGAACTATTTCATCGGCATACTCCAAGTCAACAAGTGAATCTTGCGGTAACGTCAGGAGATGCAGTCCCATGGTAGCCGGTTACCAACGATTTGTTCATACACCATTTTTTCCTTCAGGATTCTGGAACCCATGTAGACCATTGGTTTGGAATCAGGGTTTTACAACTCATCTAGGTAGACTCTCCGTAAACACCAGCCCGGTTAAAGCGTCGGACATCCGCTTTTTTTCCTCTCAATTTCTTAAAGAACAGTAATGCCACGAGAATGCGGTGAGTAGGATTTCCCTGGTAGTGGTTGTATGCACGGTCCATGTGAGAGCATTTGGAGAGGGAGAGCTGACTCTCCCTACCCTCGGCAGTACCAGGGCATTTGATAATATGTTAATAAGACTAATCATGTTATATCAAAACCAATAAAGAATCAGTTTAACACTAGTAAATTCTTTATTCAATACAAGTACAAGCAGTCACACAGTGAGTATCCATAATAAAAGACAATGATAAGAAGGAAAATCACATATTTAATTGTTCTTAGGCTGTGGTCACACTCAATGACCAATCATACTTTACTTTCACTACCACACATCATCTTTCCCTTTAAGTTTGTGATTAGTTTTTTAGTCCCATTTTATTTAGAAATGCCGATCAGCATCATAACTCCACATCTCTCGCCCCACCACCACAAAGCAATTCAGTCCTTGTGTCGCGATGTCATGACCAATTTGACGTTCCCAATTTGCATTATTTTCTCATATCTCACATTTCGATTATTATTTGGGGATACACAGTGACATATAATTTGAGGTATTTTATCATGTAACTCGGTCTCGCATAAAAAATATGATACATTTTCTTTTTGCCTTTCACGTTAGAATACACAAAGTCATTGTTCCAGTTATCAGATATGTGTGTTTAACACATACGATTCATCTAGGCTTGATTCACTTGTAAGACATTCAAATGAGAAATATGCATCTACCTCATACTCATTAAGATAATCTTGGACTCCATTAAGCTTTTCTGCTCATGCATACTTCATATCCGCGGGAACTGTTTCTCTGACTACTTCGGGAAAACTTGCAATTCTCTCTGATTTATCATACCACTGACTAGGGATTCTACTCGACACACATTAGTTGTGAGAATATCCAACATCGGATACAATAACATCATAAATGTGACTAGAATTCGACTCATTCCGAACATATTAGTCGCATTCATTAAGGATATCATTAGAGATAAATCCATTGTAAGAACAAATAACATTATTAAGCACAGTTTTCTCCAGGATACTGATAATTTTCATTTGGGTTTGCACAAATGGATCTAGTATTACTTTCAAAGTATCTATTTCTGATTGATAAAATATATCTAATTACAAAATACAATAAGGTGCGTAGGTTCGTTTAAAAACTGCCTTGTCTCCAATTAGAGATACCGACTTATACGCTCAGACCAATGACGCATAAACTTGTACGAGTAACCTAGAGTTCGTATTGGTCCCTTGAGATATTAGCTTCTCGCTTATCCAGTCGGTTCAGTCCAGAACGCAAATATTAGCTTCCGTTATATGAATCATATATTTCAGACATACTGGGTTTTATATACAAACAAACCAAACCGCATCATACCATAAATAGAAAATAACGGTTATACAACATCAAACCAAAGGGGTGTTGTCTGGTATAGGTGCAAGAATGCTAGGCATAGTCAAAGATATGACATCAGTCCATAAGATCATCGCCAATTGGATTGAAGCATGTAGATAGGTGCAGACGTTACCTAGTTCCTATACTCAGGATTATCATAACCGGTGGT